TTTAGGGATTTAAACAAGGGAGCTGAGTGTTGTCTGAAAGCTGAGTTAGTTATCATTCTGATAGCAGATTTTTGCTGTGTGATGATGGGCTTAAGTTAATTAAGCAATATATCAGAGGGCGTGTAGGGTTCGGTGTTCAATGAACGAAAAGGACTGGATCACTGTGTACAGGAGGCTGATATGGCAGCAAACACTCTCCTGGCGACCATATTTCTTGGATAAGTCGCTCCACACAATTGTCGCTTGGACCGTCGACTTCCTATGGCGTCACCTCTCACATATTTACGTCTCATTTCGTTATGAAATTAGATTATTTCAGAGAAAAAATAGGTTTGATCATGTTCTACGTGTAGCACCAACATTATAGTAAGTAAATATACCATATTTCTTCATTACTTACGTAATGCTAATACGTTTTGGGTAGTTTTGGCCTGATTTGGGTGATTGGGGTAATTCTATGGACCGGAACAGCAGTGCTGTTAGCTCATGCTACGTGTGTCAGGCTTGGTTGCTCACTCAATACTGAGGCCAATAACACCCGGGAGTTTGGCCCAGGATTTTTTTTTTAAATGGCGTCTGTTTACAAGAGCCCTGATGAAGGTGTGGTGAACCCCGTGTATCCGCGGGCCGTTTAAATCTTGCGTAGTACTCCAACACATCATATGACGTGATGCGCAGTTGACTGGAACAATGTCCAACACATCATATGAAGTGATGCGCACTTTAAGGGTTAAACGATAATACAAAAATATAATAAATTTGATAATCACTGAAAACAAGGGAATAGCGGGTAAAATGATAACTCACTGGAAAGCGAGGGGAAAACTGAAGATAACTAGGATAACATAATTATTGGGGAATATCACAGGTTAACAAGCAAACATTGGGACAACTGGTCACTGGGGAAAACTACTTTAAGTATGAAATAGTTTGATAACTTTAACTTAACAGAAAGGAAGTTAAACATTTAAGAAATAATACACTCAATTTATTTACTTAACACACTTCTCAAATTCACATTAAGGAATTGCTGTACAAAGGCACTGTACATAATATACATCAGAAGCTTTGACCTCTCATAGCTTTACTCAGCTATCACTTAGTGTCCTACAAATAAAAGTAAGCCTTTATCAGCTGGACATAAACAATATTCTTAACTTACAAATACATAGGAAATTCTGTCCTTCTCTTCAATTTTAACAGAACCAAATGAACATACACTAAAACTGACAACTGAACTCTCTCTCACCTCACTGTCAACTCAGTCCATCCTTTTGAGTTCCCAACTTCACTAAACTGATGCACAAAATTCCCCGAACCTAACCTAACCGAGGATTCTCAAATAGAAAACGGGATAACGCGTCAATTTTACTTGCGGCTCTGGTTTTTAGCACATCAGGTTTTTGGCCTTAGGAGATTTATGTCAAAATGTGATGTACTATTCAAGATCACTATTGCAAAAGATCTTGGGGGTATCAACATTACTGTACTACTAGGCAACCACAAACACATTTCCTGCATAATAACAATCTTGGTAACCATCACAGGTTGCTAACACTCACTGGATATTGATCAATTTGTTTCTGGTGTCTGGCTGCCAACATTGAAGCCATGGGCCAAGGGCAAGAACACCCTCCCACTGCTGTGGTTAGTCACAGAAGCTACTCTATTTCTTTTGAGGCATTACTATCCCTTTTATATATGTTATTCTTTTAGAAAGAATAAAAATATTCCTGTGAAATATTAAATACCAAATATTGAAAAATAAGAGAGGTGGACGGAAAGTGGCAGTGCTTGCTAAAAAAAAAAAAAAAAATTTAAGCTTTTGAAGAATGTCTTATTATGACATCAAGTGGATATGCTATGTTACATTTAGAATACAGTATCACAGGAAGAAAAGATAGTGGTGGTGACTAATTTACAATCATCCAGTGAACACCTTATGATGCAGACAGGGAAGGACAAAGACAAACAAGTATGTGACATTTCACTGTGAGTGGTAGAAACATTTCAAAGGACGAGAGCAAAGCTTATAATAATAGGAGACTTCAACCAAGGCAGAATAAACTGGCAGTTGAGTAAATGAGTAACTGATAAACCCATAGATATTGAAGGCAAAACTGATAAAGATAGCAGAGGGAAACCTGACACAGTATGTCAAAGACAAAACAATATCTGATTTTCACACAAAAAGTGGTCATAAAAATATGATATATGAAATTCTACTGGGAGCATGAGAACACTGAGTATTGGTTTTTGAATATTTAATGATACAATCATGGAAAGCGGAGGGTGGTGTTTGGGCAAAGAAGACTGGAGAACTGAAAAGGGAAGTACCATAAAATCGGGAAATTTCTAGACAAGGTATGGTGGAATCGAGTTCCAGGGTAAAACAACATACTGTACTGTAGTAGTATATGATGGACTACAGTAAGATAATTCAACGAAGGTAAAGGAAGGTTCATTCCTCCAGATTTATGCATAGGAAAGAAACACAATATCAGCATGTTTTGAAAGATGGTATCAGGTCAAACAGTAGAAGCAAGAGGGAATGGAAGAAACATAAAGGGAGCTGAACTGAAGAGAATCAGAACATCAACAAGAAAGCAGCAAATGAATATGCAGGGAAAAGAAGGGAATGTGGTAAACAATATGAAAGCAAAGATGATGCCAAGATTTTTATGTGAATGACCAAGTAGTCCAACTAAGGAAATGGGAGGGAGGATTCATAGAAAAATGAAAAGGTGTGTGTGGAGTATTAAATGAATCATTCCAGGAGGTATTCACCCTGAAACCTGATCTTTACTGGCACCTAGTATTGTATATTTCAACATTAACATGCCAGTCAAATGGTGATGAACCCTAAAGCAGCAAGGACAAATACTGGAGGAGCTAGGTTTGGCAAAGGCTATTGGCCCATATTTACTGTGTGCTGGGTTCAAGGATCAGCATTTCTGTGACTCCAGATTGGTGGCCTGGTCAAGCAGGTTCCTATATGTAGCTGCTTGCAATCTTACATATGAAACAGCCTGGTTGATTAGGTAACATTTAACAGCCTGGTTGATTAGGTAACATTTGGAGGGGCTTATCAAGTTATTTTAAACCATGAGAAGGGTTGGCTAGTCATGCCCCATTATGTATAGTACATTGAAAAGTCTTGAGCCTTTAATGTTGATTGAATTATCTGTGAACCTGTCATGCCTCCTGGTCACATAAGGAGTTATTTCTGTGTGCAGATTTGAAACACGTCCCTCGAATATTTTCCAAGTGTAAATTATTATGTCTTCCTCATCAATGCTCTAGAGAACACAGATAAATTCTAGAGAATTTAAGAAATCCCAATAAATTACATGTTTTACTGAACGGATTCAGGGCAGTAAAAGGTCTTTATATGTTCTCTAGGTCAGCAATTTCTCCACCTTTGGATGGGGCAGTTATTGTGCAACAATATTCCACCCTGACAAGCATGGTCATCTTAACAGTATAGGTCCTTATCTTGAGGTTATCTTGAGATGATTTCGGGGCTTTTTTAGTGTCCCTGCGGCCCGGTCCTCGACCAGGCCTCCACCCCCAGGAAGCAGCCCGTGACAGCTGACTAACACCCAGGTACCTATTTTACTGCTAGGTAACAGGGGCATAGGGTGAAAGAAACTCTGCCCATTGTTTCTCGCCGGTGCCTGGGATCGAACCCAGGACCACAGGATCACAAGTCCCGCGTGCTGTCCGCTCAGCCGACCGGCTCCCGGGCAAAGCAATGCACTAGGGTTTGATGGTCCCATCGAAATGATGGGCCCAGCCCATCTGTTAAGGTGCAGGATTACCCTCAGAGTTATGCACAAATTATTTACATTATAAATATAATTTGAAAAGGAATTTGAACCCCAAGCCTTTCCAGTGAGAGGTCGAGTAATTATCCACTCTGCCAAGAGTTGTCTCATTAACAATGTGGTAGCAAGGGGGGCCCTTGAACCATGGGACCCCCTGAACACTACCCAGTGTGCCCATACATTAAGACAACACTGCTGGAGAGCATTAGTGTCTTCAAAAGTGTCATTGGTCATGAATCTCTTGTTTGAAAGGTTCTTGTTATCATGCAGGTACGACATCTACTTTACTGTATTCTTTAAATGTAAGGTTTTCCTACATATTTACTCCCAAATCTTTTATAATGCTTTTTCTTTTTATATTGTGATTTGACCCCATTTTTTTGTAGTTTCCAATGTTAAATTTTAATTTTTATCATGTTAGAGGAGCTGTAACTTTTCTTCATTAAACATATTTAATGTTATATTCAGTGGCTCATTCAAAGACGTCATTAACATCAGTTTGGAGGTCTGCAGTGTCCTCTACACTGTCAACTCTCATGAAAATCCTAGTATCATCTGCAAAGGGTGATACAGTCCTATAGTTGGTATCCTTTCTTCCTACTTTGCCAGCAATTTATTTTATGCACATTTTTTGTGCAATAATGCCATACCTCTTTTAGTTCCAAGGATCATCCCCAGCCCAGTTTCTGACCAGGCATACTGGTTGGTGGGATGGTCTCCCAGGCTGCTAGACATGGCCGCTCGCAGCCTGACATATGAATGACCAGTCTGGTTGATCAGGTATCCTTTGGAGTCATTTTGATCAGCATGGGTGGTTCCGTTCCAGTGTCGCATGTTTCACTGTTGGTTGGGTTGTAATGTCTGCACCACCTACTACAACCCATCCTCCTGTTTAGATAGTACCTGATGCAATAGTCGTCAATAGTCACGAATTCGTACGTACTTAGATTTTTAGATAGTAGTATACTAACTAGTGAGGAATTCTTTTAAAATAAATGAACCTAAAAAACAAACAAATATTCTTAGGCCTAGTATAGCACACACATGTACTATATTAGGCCTCAGATATCGTGTATTAGGCCTAGAAAGGTAAGGTTAGGTTAGTTTAGTTTGTCAAAGCAACACAAGTAAAAAATAGTTTTCCAGTTTGTCCAACCCAATAGTTCAGATTTCTACTTTCGAATTTTGTTGTACGTCAGTATATATGTACTATGGTCCTCATCGTTACTATAGGTACTAGCAAAACAGGAGGATGGGCTGCCTACTATTACCCAATTTGCCATTGATATGATGCAATAATGACCTCCATAACCACAAGCAAAACCACTGTAGATAAGCAGATGACGTCAGAAAAACAATTTAAGAACTTAAGTGTAGGAAGGATGGGGGACAATAATGTGCTAAATGCAAACAATAATGAAAAAATTTCACCAACCCTCAAATTTCAAATCACCAGAACTGGATACTTTCTAGGCACAGCATCAGATAAGCCATGAATCACTACCAAGCAATCCTCATTAGTATCAAAACCACTACCACCATCATAGTGCACAAAATATGATGGCTCCTTAAACCAGCATGTACGAGCTGCAACAAATATTTTAATAGTCCAATTCATGCCACTGTATGGATTCACTCCATCTCAGCACAAAGCTAAATGTACACAAAATGCTGATTATGCAGTTGATACAATATCCATGTACCTCACTAGCATCAACTAGTAAAATGCAGAATAAATCAAATAGTGCAAAACATAGCCCTCTGTTTCAGAGCACCTGTCACCCTTAGGTACAAAATCAGGATGAAACATCACTCTCAAAATCATACAAACAGATAACACCCCCAACAAAAAGTCAGACATGCAAACATTAATACCCAAGGCTGACAATTCTCGGTACCAGCGCAAGAAAATAAATACGACTCGACTCACCTGGACCCATCTAAACCTAAGACACCTAACCAAAAATGAAATGCAAAGAACAAAAAAGAAGTCAACCATTATAAAGTATAGGGAAATAAATGTAAATAAGGAGGCAAATTGAAAAAAAAAAATCCCATACAACTTAAGAGCAGCAAAATGATCAATGTGGGATTTTATTTGAGTACATCATTTTGTGACGAGTATTTGGCATATACAGTACCTAGAAATATCAACCTGTTTACCTGATAATATTTGTTATCCTTTAAATACATACTGATGACATTACTCATCTGTGAATTATTTGTGGTATCACCCCAGTTTTTTTTTCACTTTTGTATTTACAGTACTAATTTAGTTTATACAAACACATTACCAAAGCTTATTTCTTCTTATTTCTTTTAACAATTTATCACTGAACAGTCCCCGACTCCTTTTAGTATGAATGAAGTATTGTATTTTTTATTTAATTATCTCTTTTGTATATAAATAAAATAAACTAAACACAAAATAAAATTAAGTTTTAAATAAAGTCCATTAAACCCTTGCACTTCTGAAATGGTTTCTATTCTGTGTTATACAATGCAAACTTGTTTATTATGTTTATTATTTATAAACTATTATGAAGACTGATATAGTTTTGTCCAATATGAGGTTACTGTTTTACTGCACTTAATTTTGATTAAAAGTATTATAACTTTTTTGCTGGCATCACTTTAGTGCGAGTTCTTGTATACTGAACAATTGATTTTTGTGATAAGTTTTGTTTGTTTATAAGCACTGAAAATTTACTTGATTTAAAACCTGTTTGATTTCTCATAATAGATTGTATTTTACAGTTGTTTAAATGATCTAAACACTGATGGTTGATCATCAGTATGAATTTTCATGTGATTTACTAAAACAGATTGTTGCTTAAAGGCTTTTACACATACTGTACACTTATATGGTTTCTCCCCAGTGTGAATTCGCATGTGCCTTAATAAATCACGTTTCATTGTAAAATCTTTTGGACACACTGAACACTGATGTGGTTTCACTCCTGTGTGAATTAGTCTGTGTGAAACTAAATTAGCTTTTTGAGTAAAACGTTTGAAACATACTAAACACTGATGAGGTTTTTCCCCAGTGTGAATCCGCAAGTGAATTACTAAATCATATTTTCGTGAAAAGCCTTTGAAACACACTGAACACTTGTATGGTTTCTGACCTGTGTGAGTTCTAATGTGTGTCGTTACAGCAGATTTATGAGAAAAGTATCTAAAACACACTGGGCACTGATAGGGTTTCTCTCCCGTGTGAGTTCTCATGTGAGACAATAAATCATACCTTCGTAAAAAGACTTTAAAACACTCGGAACAATGATATGGTTTCTTCCCTGTGTGGGTTATCATATGAGTTATTAAGCATGATTTACTTGAAAATGCTTCTGAGCACATTGAACATTGATAAGGTTCCCTTTCATTGTGGGTTCTCATGTGTGTTACTAGATTAAACTTATCAGTGAAGTCTTCTAAACACACTGAACACTGATATGGTTTGCCTTGAGTGTGAGTACTCATGTGGCTTATAAAATCAGATTCCTTTGCAAAGCCCTTTATACATTCCAAACACGGCTCTGTTTTACCTTCTGTGTGAGTTATCATGTGTGATACTAGACCACATTCATCAGAGAAGTCTTCTAAACACTTTGAACACTGATACGGTTTCTCTTGAGTGAGACTGTCTGTGCCCATTATAAAATCAGATTTAGTTGAAAAGTCATTTATACATAATGCATGATGATGTGGGTTTTTTTCTGTGGGGGATTCCATAGTGTATTGACTTAACAGATTTTTCTCAAGTCTATTAAATACACTAAAAACTGGTATGGCTTATTTTCTGTGTTACAGATTTTATTTAAGTTATTTCCTATGTAGATTACCATATAATAATAGAAAAAATGATCTAATTAGCTAATTTAACACCAGTATAGTTTCTTTTCTGTGGAAATCTTCATAACAAATACTGGAGAAAATTGATCTGCAGTTAAGGTCATTTTGTTTGGAAAAAGTGGGAGAGAGAGAGAGAGAGGGTAAAGGCCTTAACACTGAATGATGATTTGGTTTCTCTCTTATTTTATTAGTGTGAATTATTAATATGACTTCTTGCATATTTCCAGTTCTGGTATATAATAATGAAAACTCATTTGGGCACACTAAATATGGTTATGGCTTTCCTACTGGTGTTCTTGTGTGCAATCAAAACAGATATACATTTTTTGTGAAATCATAATTGCATTACATCAGTGAACACACTTTCAAATCCTTATGAAGACACTTGAACTAAAGGGAAGATAATCTTCGAATCTATCAGCTTATTGTAGTCATAAGTTTCCTTAGACAATATACAAACAAGTGTTCTCTTATGCAAATTTAAATATTTGCTCAAAATACTTGTTTTCACAAAAGCTTTCAACTATTATGCACACATTTCCCTATACGAATAGCTATCTGCATTACAGTACAGGAAAAAAGATTGTGAGAAGGCACTCTCAAATTAAATGTACATGTTAAACAGGAAAAATGTTTGCTATAAGACTTTGGAATAATAAACAGAGATATGAATTTTCTTTAACACAGATGCTGACTAATGTATGTTACCAAGGTATGGTAATATTCAAAGCCTTAAAGAAACTTAACCATGAAGAGTTTTCTTAAATGCATTATCGTTACATTGTGCTCAATAATTTATATACATTATATTTATATATATACATACATACAGATTATTAGTTCAAAAACACTAAACAATGATAAAGTTTCTTTGATGTTGAGCACATGTACACCTGAGTTAAGTGAATGCTGTTAACATGTTTACATTATAGGTTTACTGTACTTTCAAGTTTTCCTTTTATAAACTTGCATCATATATGTATAATAATGAACATCAAACATTATACTTCATGATATGATCAAAGACACACATGGCAAGCAAGTCTAAATAACGTAAGAAAATTATCACTTTAAAGGTACAGGTTCATATACTATTTTCCCAAGTAATTTATTTACAGTTGTTTAATATTACTGTATTATCCTAACAATGATTGTGACTAATGAAGTTGTCATCAACTATGTATCACTGAGCTTAATAACAGCGAGATGGACGACATGTGAATTACTAAATGGTGGGGAATCACCCAGACATTGTACGGAAAAATATCCTGCCACTAAGTAATAATTTGATAGTAAGGTATATTAGATTCTGAATAACAAAGTACATAATATATTATATTCAATCACTTTTTTGTTATTACTGCTGAATGATTTTTACAAAATTACAAATTTTACAGAATTTACCATCATTACACATTTATATTCTTAAGAAATATCCAATACTAGTTGTCAAAAATGTCACTAAATATACACACGGTTTTTGTCAGCCCCAGTTCATTTGATGTTCATGAAGTAATTCAGATGATGTACAAGACATTATTTGAATTAATAGCTTCAACTAGCATCCACAAACAGTTTGAGGGCGAGCATACAGTAGTGAGGATGCTTCACACATATAACATTGCTCACACTGCGCTCTGTGGAGTGCTGACATTCGTGTGCATTGTTTCTGCCACTTACATGAGCTTCATGACTTGGGTGTTGGGACTGCATAGTATTTTCCTGGTCTAAGGATCAGCTGCAAAGAGAGAGGGAGAGAGAAAGATATTACCAAGACTTGAATTATTTTCACATGAAAAATAAAAGTTTCTGCTGAGCTATTGTTGCAACACATACATTTCTAGTGTGACAACAGAGGGGTTTTGTAATGATGTGCTACCTGTCCTCACATGGGGCTGTACTGCTTGATGGTGTGACAACAGAGGGGTTTTGTAATGATGTGCTACCTGTCCTCACATGGGGCTGTACTGCTTGATGGGGTTCTGGGAATTCTTCTACTCCCCAAGCCCGGCCCAAGGCTAGGGTTTACTTTCACTCTGGCTTGGTTTGTGTCACTGTTGATGAGTTTCATTGCTGAAGTACTTGTTTCTTGTGAAGTACTTATATAGCGTATTTAAAAATGCGAAAGGAATCACTAATGCATTGGTACAGTGACACCTTGGTTTACGAATGCCCCTCTCTATGAACTTTTCGGGTTACGAGCCTAATTTCTTTGAAAAATCCAAATTGGGTTACGAATTCTGCCTCGGGTAACGAAGTTTCTTGATACACGTATGGCTGACCTAGTGCATGTTGGCACGGCAACCACGCCTCAGTTTACCAGTGCCTCCTGCTTAGTGACAATCACACTTGAATTCTTTGTAAAGAATTTCAGTATTTTTCGGATTTTGGGGTTTTTGAACATAAAAGTTATTATATATCTCGCCATGGATCCCAAAAAAGCTAGTGGTAAGGTTCAATCCAAGAAAACACATGTGAGGATGACCATAGAGGAAAAACAAGCCGGAAATTGGGCTTGGAGTTGGATAGTGCTGATGTGGAGGTGTTGGTGGAGGAACACAGCAAAGAACTGACCACCGAAGAACTCCTAGCCCTTCACAAGGAGCAGCAACAAGAGGTAGCTGAGGAAATGTCTTTAGGGGAGGAGGAGGCAGTACAAAATGTCCCTTCCTCAAGAATTAGGAAGTGGTGTAGACTGTGGGAAGAAATGCAAACTTTTGTTGAAATGACTCGTCCAAAGCAAGCCGTAGTAGGCCATTGCCTTAAACTTTTTAATGACACCGATGTCTCACTACAGACAAGTGTTACAACGAAGGGAAAAAAATCCTCTATGGATAGATTTTTAGTGAGAAAACTACACTCTCTGGCAAAATGTGCCAGAGAGTGTACCCCAGAGAAGTCATCACTGCCTGATGTTAGAATGGAAGGGGACTCCCCCTCAAAACAGTAATACCTCTCCTCCCCCCACCCCCCCTCATCACCATCTTCCATTCATCACCAAGAGTCCTCCATAAAGTAAGTAATTATCAATAGAAGGCACCAAACCGAGAAGGCTATGTAGCACCATCAAAGTGCGGGATAATCAGAGGGCACTAAATATCACCAAGGATGCCAATACGAGAACAAAAACGCACAAGGCGAACAATATCAAAAGTATCAGAGTCACCAAGAATTCTATCAAGGGACAAGCGACCGCGGGAGACAGTCGGAAAACAAGACACACGCTCGTCCTGGAAGTCAGGACATTCAACAAGGATATGTATGACCGTAAGAGGGACAATGCAATTCGGACAATAAGGAGCAGGGCGGCGCTCCATCAAGTGACCGTGAGTTAATCGGGTATGGCCAATACGTAACCTAGTCAGAGCCGTTTCCCACTGCCGGTTACGGTGGCAGGAGGAAGGCCACTGGGACACACAACTCTTAAGAGTACACAGTTTGTTACCAAGAACAGAAGACCAACAACTCTGCCATCAGGCAAGGATGGAGTATGAATAACTTGGTAAAAGTCAGAATAAGGAACACCTTTATGGGAGATGGGACAAGTGCGGATAGCATCCTTAGCGGCAGCATCCGCACGCTCATTTAAAGAGACGCCAATATGGCCAGCAAAACGCAACTGACTTAAATTTACTGGAGATAAGAAACAGCCAATGTTGAATCTCGATGACCACAGGGTGGACTGGATTAAAGGACCCTAAAGCCATGAGGGCACTACGAGAGTCAACTACTACCACGAAGGAGGATTGCCTCCGGGAAAGCAGGAGACGAAGAGAATAGAGAATAGCATAGAGTTCTGCTGTGAAGATGCTAGCCTCCGGAGGAAGGCGACACATATAAGTCTGGTCAGGAAAAACAACAGAGTAGCCCACACCGTCAGCAGACTTTGACCCGTTGGTGAAGATAGGAACAGAGTGGGAGTGAGAAGAAAAGTGCTCAAGAAAGAGGCGTTTCAGAACTGTAGGAGGGGTAAAAACTTTAGTGATGCGGGTCAGAGAAGTACAAAATTTGGGAAGGGGGACCCTCCACGGGGGCAAGGAGGGAACAATACGAGGAGAAACATTAGAAAGATGAACCGAAAGAGAATCTTGTAAGCGAGACAAACGGGACAGAAAGAGGAAGGTGGTGAAGAGGAACAGGAACTACAGGAGGGGTAAAAGTCAAAGCACGATAGAGGCGAGAGTGAGGATGCTGTAAGGATCGCGCAAGATAACGAAGACTGTAGCGATCACGGCGATCCTGGAGAGACAGAAAGCCAGTGTCAGCGTACAAGCTGAGGGTAGGAGTTGAACGAAAAACACCAGAGCTGAGGCGCAACCCAGTATGGTGCAAAGGATCAAGACGGCGAAGAGTAGAAAGAGAAGCAGAAGAGTATGCAGGGCAACCATAATCGAGCTTAGACAGGACGAGAGAGGAATGCAAATAGAGGAGCGTGCGCCTATCCGCTCCCCAAGAAGTATGGGACAAAATCTTAAGTAGGTTAAGGGCCTTAGAGCATTCAACACGGAGGTAAGAGACATGGGGCGACCAAGACAAACGAGTGTCAAAGAATAACCCCAAAAGCTTCGTGGAATCTTTGTACTCAAGGGGATGACCATAAAGTGACAAAGAGGGACGAAGAACGACCCGCTTCCGAGTAAAAGTCATGGCACAAGTCTTAGTAGTAGAGAACTTGAAGCCATGATCGGTGGCCCAAGATGACACGGCATCAATCGCAAGTTGAAGCCGCCGTTGAAGGAGAGGCGAATCATCACCTCGACAGCAAAGAGTAAGATCATCAACATAAAGAGCGGAGAAGATGCCAGAAGGAAGGGAGGAAAGGAGACCATTGAGGGCAACCAGAAAAAGAGTAGTACTCAGAACACTACCTTGGGGCACACCTTCATACTGCCGAAAAGAGGTAGAGAGAGTGGCACCAAGCCTGACTCGAAAGGTACGACGAGAGAGAAAGCTTTGAAGGAAGAGAGGGAGATTACCACGAAGGCCAAAAGAACGAAGTTGGGACAGAATATGGTATCTCCAAGTCGTGTCATAAACCTTTTCCAGGTCAAAAAGGACAGCAACAACGGAGGTCTTCGCAGCAAAAGCAGTAAGAATATAGACCTCCAAGTTCACCAGGACATCAGTCGTGCTGCGGCACTTGCGAAAACCAAATTGAGAAGGAGAGAGGTGGTGACGGTGTTCCAAGAACCACATCAGACGGACATTTACCATATGCTCAAACAGCTTGCAAACACAACTCGTGAGAGCAATAGGGCAGAAGTCCTTAGGGGACGTACCGAGAGACCCTGGTTTCTGAATAGGGAGTACAACGCCATTGAGCCAGTCCTCAGGGACAGACGATGACTCTCAGACCTGGTTATACAGATTCAGTAAATACTGAAACGTGCACGGAGGGAGATGGCGAAGCATCTCATAATGAACGTCATCCGAGCCCGCTGCAGTAGATCCGCAGAGGGCCAGGGCAGACCGAAGTTCAGAAAGAGAGAAAGGATTGTTATAGGGAAGGCGGAGAAGAGTGTGGAAATCTAAAGGAGAAGATTCAAGAACAGGCTTATGAAGAAGGAAGGAGTGAGGAAGATGAGAACCAGAGCTAACAGAAGAAAAGTGGGAACCCAGTTCGGCTGTTAGTTTGGTTAGAGTGAGATGTACTTCATCTCAATTATGTTCTTCACTGGATCCGCCACAAGAGTCCCATGGAGGTGGAGAACAGGCGAGACATCTGGAACGAACTTGCCCGCAATCTTGCTGATCTTCTTCCAGATCTGCGGTAGAGGAGTATTGGACGTACTGTAATGGTGGAAACATAAGATTTCCAACTCTCACATTTAGCAGTACGGATGGTCCTACGGGCCACCGCACTTGCCATCTGAAACAGAATAAAAGATTCAGCCGTCTGCCTGCGGCGGTGTTTTTTCCAGGCTGCACGCTTACAGCGGACAGCCCGAGCACAGTCCACATTCCACCAGGGAACACACTTCCGTGTGCCCCGGGAGGAAGAGCGAGGGTTAGAGCTGAGGGCAGCATTGAAGACAGTGTCATAAAAAAGGAGTAGGGCGCGAGGAAGAGGCAGAGAGGAGAGGACAGAGTAGCATGGAGGGTGAATAGGCACCAGTCAGCCTTGGCAAACTGCCACCTAGGGAAGGAAAGAGGAGGGTGGACAGAGAAAAGGGAAACGAGGATGGGGAAATGATCACTGTTATGGAGGTCATCAAGAACCTGCCACGTGAAATCTAAGTAGAGGGACGACGAGCAGAGAGAAAGATCAAGACAGGAAAGGGTGCGAGTTCGAGAGTCAACATGAGTGGGCTCACCAGAATTCAGAAGAGATAGAGATGAAGCGAGGACGAACGGTTCGAGAAGACGGCCTCGGGTGTTTGTCAGACAAGGAGTCCAGGCAAAGAGTCCAGGAGGTGCTTAAGATCAGGAAGGGAAAGAGGGACATTTGGAGGGAGATAAATGGAACAGACTGTATACCATTTACCCACAAAAACACGGGCAGCAGAACAATGGATAGGGGACGGAAGAAGTAGGGGGACGAAGGGAATATCAGAACGAATTAAGAGAGCAGTAGAGTTATGGGGGGGGGGGGAGAAAGAAAGGAATAACCACGAAAGTGACCAGGACGAGCACCAAGCATTGATTCCTGGAGACAAACACTAAGTGGTGTAAACTGTGTAATTAGAAGTTGGAGTTCATGGAAGTTGGCATAAAATCCATGAATATTCCACTGAAGAA